CCCCCCCAGGGTCCTCACGGTGAGTTGCTCCGTGTCAGCCCCCAGCCCTGGGTAACACAGTGTGTGTGCAGGGCACGGGCCAAATCCTGCTGGTGTCAGTGGGGAGGGGTGCTGGGTGATGCTGAGGCAGTGGCAGGGGTCAGGTCTGGCAGGCAGCCTGGCCAAGGAGATGTTTCTGAGCCCCACGCTGCAGAGGAGTGAGGGAGGTTTTCCCCCAAAGGCCTGGGGGTGGGAACAACCAAAGGGCCCAACTGCAGCCCCTTCAGGCTGCAAACCCACCAGACCCCACTCACTGCCCTCATGGGGGCTGCTCTGAGCACAGGGAAGGGGGGGAAAACAACCCCCAGTTCCATTAGACCAGTGAAGGAGCTGAGCCTTAATGGGGCAGAGAACAGCAAAACTCATTGCATGTGATGCAAGCCCAAGGTATGAGCACCCACACAGCAGTCAGGAGGAGCAGCCCATGCTCTGCCCTGTCCAAATTGGGTGCAGAGGAGCCCAGAGGGGCTCCAAGTGCCCGAGCTGTTGTGCCCACTCTGCCCTGTGCTTTGGAAAGGGAGAAACTGCTCAAACCCCCAGGCTGGGCTGCAGAAAACTCCTTCACACAGGGAGCTTCACTGGTCCCAGCTCACAGCCTCTTTCCCCAAGGGCCCCCAGGGTGGTGGGTGCTGGATGAGGCCCTGTGGCTCTGAGCTCAGAGCTTGGCCTCAGGGCTCCTCGGTGGGAAATGACTGCAAAGGCAATAAAAATGTTCTCAGAAGGAACCTGATGACACACTTGCCCCTGCCCTGAAACCCTCAGCTACGTAACCACACTGAAGTGCCCCTGTTGTGGATGGGATTTGTTTAGGGCCCCTGCTCCACCCTTGTCAAGGGAACACCAGCACTGGGTGGGCAAACAGGGCCCCCCACAACCTTTCCCCAAAACCAGGGCTTCAAAGCCTCCTTTCCCCAGGGGGATTTTGGCTGTGGTGCTTAGAGCCAGGAGAAGACCGACCCCGGCAGGCACCAAGGCTCTGCCCCTGGGGGTCACAGCCCTCTCCCCCCAGCCCTGACGTCTTTTCCCAGGCTGAGCCCTGGTGCTGCGTCACTGGAGGGAGCCTCATGTCCTGGCAACAGGTTGTGGGGAGGTGCAGAGGTCAGGAGGCAGCAGTCCAGCCCGGGAGCTGCAGCAATGCAAGAGAGAGCTTGGCAGGGAGCCACCAGACATAAATCCCCTTTCCGGGCATCCCACAGGCTCTGCCTGCTTTGCTAAGTCCCATTCCCCAAAGAAAAGGGCAGGGATGCAGTGGAAAGGGGTCACATCAACAGGGGAAGGTGGTCCCAGGACATGGGGCCAAGGGGCTGCAGCATTTCCAGCTTCTCTGTGACCCTGGGCCAAGGGGATGCACATCTGCAGGAGCCCCAAGGAGTGTTAGATGCTCTGAGCAGGGCTTTTCCCTGGGAGGGGGGGATGGATGGACTCCTCTCCCATAGTGCAGCCAGAATGGGATGCCAGTGGGACCAGGGAAGGGCTGCAGGTACAGGGGAAAGGCAGAATCAGCCTTCTGCAGTCCCCAGGGGACACAGCCCTTCCCTGCCAAGGTGATGGCACCACAGCCCTTTTGAAGGGTGTCCTGGTTTGAGCCAGGATTAAGCCAAGGAAAATCCCCACAAGGCATTTCCCACTCACCTCCAGAGCAGCAGGCAGGGATGAGCAGCTGGTGCATGGGATGGAAAGACCTGACTGGGGGCTTTAAATAACCTGAAAGTGTTGCATTTGTGCTGGGAGTTGTAGAAAGCAGGGCAGAGGGAAGGAGCATCACCCCAGTGGCTCGAGGGGCTGGAGCAGCAGACCCTGCAGGGCAGCATGGAGAGCACATCCACAGGGACATCCCCCAGCTCTGGGACCACACTGATTTTATCCCCAGCCTTTCAGGAGACCCAGGCCTGCAGAGAGGATGCTCAACTCTTCCCACACAGCCTAAAATCATCAGGCAGTTCTAACCAAAGCATCACTTAAGCTGAAGCCCAGCCACTGGAGGTAACAGCCCATCAGGCAGGGCTGCAGCCTCCCTGCTCAGTTCCTGCACTGCTGAGGGAACCTGCTGCAGTTTGCTGCAAAGTGCTGGGGTTTCATATCCTATAAAGAGCAGCTCCTCTGGAAATAGCAGGGGAGTGCTCTGAGGTCCTTTCCCTGCCTGCTTTCCAGGAGTCAAATGATTGAGCTAAGAGTAGATTCAAGGAAAATGCTTTCCAGAGAAACAAATGCTTTCCTGCAAGAGCAATGTATTCTTCTCTAGTGCTGGGCTGAGCAAGCCCATTTCTTAAAATAAAATTTGAAATATTAAGTACTTCCCTCTCTAAATAGAACCATTAGGAAGTTTTGCTGAACAGCTTTGCTGCTTGAGGCATCTTTTAAAACACTAAAAAGAAGGTAGATGCCTTTCTGTCCTTCCCACACATTTTACACACTCCTCTAGTTCATGAGTTTGTTGCTAATAAAAACCCATGAGGCTTCAGAGGATCCTTGTTCCAAAAAGCTCAAGCACAAAAGCAACTTTTGGGAAGGACTTGGAACCAACAGCGGGTGAATTGCCCATTGACATCAGCAGAACTGGGGCTTCACCCAAAACATTTGCTTAAAGCCCAAACTGCTCTGGCAGGGCACAACAAAATCACCATTTACTGAACCAGAGGGAAAACATTTCCCTGCAACAAGCTTGAGAAATGCAGGCTGGGGGGAGCAGCACTGGCTCCAGCTCCCTGCTCCATCCCAGGCAGCTCACACCAGTTCCCTGGGTCATTTTGGAGCCTGATGGGAAGCATCCCCCACTGCAACCATGCTCCATCCTGGCTGGGTTTTCCCAGCAGGTTGAAGGGATTTGGGCACCCCCCCTGCTCCTCCAGGCTTGCCGGGATGGGGGCATTAAACAGTGGGAATCACATCACTCTGCACGTGTTGTCTCTAGGACCACTCCTCTTTCTTCTGGGGGAGCCCTGAAGATGCAGCTTGTGCAGAAAAAGTTGCTCTCCAGCCCAAGTTTTCAGCTGGGGAGAAGGAAAGACAGGAATTGCAGCCAGACACGGGGGGGTTTTGCTGCCCTCTCTTATCTGTGTTGTCCAAGCCCATCCTGCCCCCACCAGCAGCTGCCAGGCTCTTGCTCTGCTCCAAACCCTTCTGTGTTATCATCAAAGCTGGCCCTGGCTCCAGCAGGACTGAACCCACCTCTACCTTCCTCCTGCCCACCTCAAAGCTCATGCTAGGACACCTCTAGCTCTTCTTTTTCTACCTTGGAAAGCCTCACACTTCAATCTGCACTCAAAGAAAAGGCACCTGCTCAAAACCTGGAAGGGAGCAGCTTCCCCTGAGCCAGCCCTTCCAGGGATGCAAAGCAACTATTCCCAGCTTTGGGATTTATATCTCCTGGGGAGCTCATCCTGGGCTTTGGGTGCCCAGATGAGTTACCCCACACTAGCTGAGCCCTCAGAGCAGCTCCCAGCTCTTCCACCCACTTCAAACCCACTGCAAACCTGGGCACGGGTGCAAGTACCTGCTAAGTACCACCAGGCACTGCCACCAGCTCAATCAGGCTGTGCTCCAATTAGGAGGGAACAGGTTTAACTCAGACTCATTAATTAATTCTTGCAAGTTAAGAAGGGTATCTGCACAGGGACCAGCTTTGATGTGATTGCCTTGGTTTAATTAAGCTCCTGCTTGTACCCAGCTTCCCGAGTGCTCACAGAAACCTGGCTCACATCCATTTAGCTTGTGTCTCTGATCACCCAGACCCGCTGAGTTATCCAACCAGTTCTGCAGCAGTGCTGGCTGTGCTCCTGGGGAGAGGAGTTTCTGCAGCCTGAGCAAAATAGCTCCTTTAAAATCACCAGGCATTAAGCTGGGAGAGCTCCATCCTGCAGGCAGCAGCCAGCGGGTCCAGCTCTGCTCCCTCCTGGCCACATCCCACAGGAAACAGGTCTCTGGGAAATGTGAGTCCTGATTCAGAGTGCTCAGAGATACCAGCACTGAAACCCTGAGTCTTTGCTCCAGCCCCTGCTCCCACCCCAGCATCTCTCAATTCATTAATAACCCCGGGTGACATCTGTTTTTCCATGGTCACTGAATTTGAACGGGGTGATTTACTCTCTTCC